GACATACTCAGAGAGTATATCGGAAAAATATGCTTTGTCTATATAGACGACATTATCATTTTCGGCCAAGATGAAAAATCACATTTAGAAAATAATAATAAAATTTTCCATACTTTAGAAAAAGCTATTATGAAAATCCAAATTGACAAATGTGAATTCTTAAAAACAGAAGTAGATTCATCATTTCTCAAAACGGAATAAAGACAAACCTCTCAAAAGTCAAATTCATTTTAGGATTTCCACCACCGCAAACAATAAAAGAGCTTAGATCATTCTTAGGACTTTCCGGTTATTATCGTCGATTTATAAAAGACTATGCAAAACTTGCAAACCCTTAACAATACCTTTAAGAGTGGAGGAGGGACGCATGTCCAAAAATATTTCATCCAAAATCAAAATCACTCTTAATCAATACGCCATTAATGCATTCAATAAATTAAAAAACTCTCTCATTTCCGCTGATGTTATGCTGCAATATCCTGACTTCGAAAAAGAATTTCATTTAACTACAGACGCTTCAGATTACGTAATAGGAGCAATACTGGAACAAGACAATAAACCGATAACATTTATCTCAAGGACACTGACAAAGGCAGAAGAAAACTATGCTACAAACGAAAAAGAACTCTTAGCCATTGTATGGGCTTTAAAAACCTTTAAAAATTATCTTAGCAATAGAAATATCAATAGTAAATTAAAGAGATGGAAATCAATACTAGAAGAATATAATTACGAAATTAAATACAAACCTGGTAGCACAAACGTGGTAGTGGATGCATTATCTAGACCTCCTCAACAAATAAACTCTATGACAGCAACACAGCATAGCGATGAAAGTTCCACACAGACATTAATACCTTACAGCGACGCACCAATTAACGCTTTTAAGAACCAATTTTCATTTCCTTAGGAGAAACTTCATCATATCAATTCCAAAGCGAATTGTATAAAAACTGAAGACAGCATTTTAGGAAAAATCCAAACCATTTATCAAGTTCATTTTAGTTCACAAGGTACGTTATACACGAAAATTCATAAAAGACATTTTAAGTGAGTCTGACCAAGCAACCGAAATTATTAATGAACATAATAGAGCTCATCGTAATCCTACAGAAGATAAAACACAACTTTTGGAAAGATGTTATTTCCCGCAAATGAACGCCAAAATAAAAAGAATCGCTAAACAATGTAAAATTTGCCTAGAAAATAAATATGAAAGACACCCGATAAAACCAATTCTAAAAGCAACGCCCATTCCCAGTTATCCAGGTCATATCGTTCACATAGATCTTTACTTTACGAGTAATAAAATAGTGTTAACCGCATTAGATAAATTTTCAAAATACGCTCAAGCTAAAATTGTACCTTCCAGAGCTTCCGAAGATATAAAAACCCCTTTAAGAGATCTCTTGACAATATTTGGAATCCCAGAAAAAATTGTAATAGATAATGAAAAATCCTTAAGCTCGCTCCAAGAACTTTCATGTTAGAAAATCAATACGGTATAGAAATATTTAAAACCCCACCATCCAAAAGTTCAATAAATAGTCAAATAGAACGATTCCACTCAACATTCTCTGAAATATAACGATGTTCAAAAGCAGAAAATTCCCTTTCTGATTTTGAAGACCTTTTAAACAGATCTTTATTTAAATACAATTATTCCATTCACTCTACAACTAAACGTAAGCCAGTAGAACTATTCTTTGGAAGAACAATAGAACCCAATCCAATAGAACTAGAAAAAGAAGAGAGTATTCAAAACCTCAAGAATAAACAAGAAAAAGATTTAGAACTCCACAACAAAAATAGAACTGATTTTAAATCATACAATAGTAACGAGGTTATATGTGTTAAAGTAAACAAAAGATTAGGAAACAAATTAACACCCTGATATAAAAAAGAAATACCTAGTTATAGAAGACAAAGGCAATACAGTCATAACACAATCAGGACGTACCGTTCACAAAAGTCATATTAAAAAATGAATTTCATTTTTCTTCTGCAGTATCTTACTTGCCTTGTCCAATGCAGAAACCCAAATTTTGGATTATACCAATAGCCATATAATAAACATAGATATGGGAACCGCAAAGGTTCAGACCGGAACATTTAGACTAATACACATTATCGACATTGAACAATAAGAAGTTGCTCTCATCAAAATACAATCCATTATAGAAAATGATGTAACTTGGAAAAACTGGTAATGGTTGGCTGGAACCTCAGATAACGAAGATTTTGTAATAATAAGAGATAAAATAAATAATATAATATTTTAATCAATAATAATCAATAAGTAATAATTAATAAATCTATGTTAGAAAGAATAAATAATTTAACACACATTTCAAGTGTAATATTAAGCGAAATGAAATCGAGCGATAGCTTCAAATTAGAATTAGAAAAAAATATTGAAAGAAAATTAAAATTTTTAAAAGACGAATTAACTAATTTGGATTATTCTATCCAATGGGCCAATGCTGGAATTGTAAACTCATTTATGTTGTCAAATAAAGAAATCTATGTAATTAAAGAAACATTTGAAAAAGAAAATATACCATATTTAAACTTAGTAGAAGCTATTGAATTTAGCGATGTCAAAATAGCATCGAATTTGTCAACAATTCTTTAAATTATAAAATTTCTTTTAACAAACGATGAACTATGTAAATCAATAAGAATAAAACCTGTAAAACTTAAGGAAAAAGCAATTAAATTAAGATATTAAAATTTTATTGTTTGTAAAAAGAAAATATATGGTATGAAATCATATTGTAAGAATATAAACAATTTAATATTATGTAAACAAAGTAATTTAGAGGTCACAGAGACACAGAAGTCACAGAAAGTAATTGCATACCAAATCTGCTCAAAGGTTATTCATCTAATTACACCATAACTAACAATCACCACATTGAAACGATAGAAGAAATTTCACCTGGCCTATTGTTAATCAATAGCTATACAGAAACCCTAAGAATTGACAATGAAATCGTCAAATTAAACGGAACATTTTTGATTAAATATGACAATTCAAGCGTAATAGTGGCAAACAATTTTACAAACAAAAATCAAATATTTACCAGCAATAATCAAATCAAGAGATGCCACAGGAAACATTGAAGAAGTACTTTCATTACAATATCTGAAAGAGCTCAATGTAGCAAATATTTACAGGATCGGCGATAATAGTAATTATTATCGTAACAATAATCCCAATAAAAAATACAATTTTAAATAGAAAAACTAAATTCATATTGAAGTCAATGCGAACAGTCCAGAAGATAATCCACCTACACCTGTAGAAAGGTTCAGCACTTCAACAGCTCACATATCACTCCCTACCAACGAAGAAGCTGTATATTTTAAAGGGGGAGGAGTTAACGCCACATATGCTGGAATTGATTTACAAAGCTTTATTGCCAAAAACTAAAGCTTCAGGTGAGACTTGCACTGTAAGCAGTATCCCACGGGTAACTTTTAAATGACACCACACGTGCATCTGTGCAAAGCAGAGTCAACAATACCTTTGAATACAGCGGCAATGTGACTTAGGTTTAATTTTAAGTTTAAGAAAATATTATAATCAGTATAAAGTTGTGTCTCAGAAAACTCGCGTCTCCGCGGGCGTAAAAAAATATTTTTTTATGTAAATTTATATAAAAAAGTATAACTTACATAAATCAGAGGAATATTAAATATTTTCTTTAAAAAGTTTCTTTAATTATAAACCGACAAATATACTATGTTGTCATTTTTATTCTAAAATGTTTTAATACTCATATTTGCGGGGTTGTCACTTTTCCCTTCTAGAGGGACTATCAGAAATTTGTTCAATTTAAGATTTTAAGCTTTTGCCATCGTTGTAAAAAGACGCTTGTAGGCAAACGCTTGTTGGCAAACGCATGCTCGGGGAGATGTGAGGGTGTTTGTTTTTATGAATGAAGCGAGGTTGCTTGTTGAAAGTACGCCTGCGTTCATGAATGAAAATGTTGTTGTTGTGTAATTTACACACAATACATACATATATTGTCAATAGGCCATTGTTGTTTTTGTAAAACAATGTTTGTAGTTTTTGCGGGTGACATGTTTACATGTGTACGCATATACATACATATATATTATATATATATATAATATGTATGTTGGTTTGTGAATGCATTATTTGTTCGGCAATGTCATATATACATATATGCGTGTAGATATAAATCAATGCGCACTATGTGTGCACTTGTTATTGATAAGTGATAAGATCATGATTTGAATTTCTGAATGCGTACATTCAAATGAGCATGTCCAGATATACATATGACTATGTAAGATTAATATGATAAAAGATGTACATATGTATATGTTGTAATAAATTTAGTCTCTATTAGTAACAATTATAATACTAAATTTTTATTGTATTAGGAATGTATATTACAATATGTAAAAACTAAATAAAATCATTAAATTCCCAAATTGACTATATATAATATTTTGAAAATTCTATAATTTAATTAGTCTTTTAAATTTTGCATGCATTCATAAAAATTCGCATAATGAAATTCATATCAATAAATATGTTTGCATATAAGCGTATAAAAATATGAGCCAAAAGGCTAACATGCAGCTGTAATATCAAAGCAAGTCTCTGAGCATAATTTTCATTGAATGCTCAGCTATGTACACTCGCCACTGTTAAAATATCTCCTTCCGAGCTGGCTGCGGTGAAATTCACTATTAAAATCTTGTTAGGTTTTGACAATTGACACGCTGGTCCGCAATTGAACCTTCTCTATTATATACATACGTTCTCTGTTAAAGTATGCTTACATTTTATTGATGGCTGTTCACAACTCACATTTTTGTGAACACTTTTCATGTAAAAAAAATTCAATTAATTAAATTTTCGGATATGGGTGATTTTTCTCACGTGGAGTTCACGATAAGATAAACACAAATTTATGAATTTTCCAATGGCGTTCACAATAAGGCTGAATGTTAATATTTACATCCTATCGACTTCGTCTTTTGGACCCTGCATTTTTCCTATTATGGTGCCTTGTTTGGAGTTTTTAACCCATCCTTTTATTCCAGCTTTAGTGCAAAGATCTCGAGTATATTTTGTGAAGTAACAACCTGTGGTGAAAGAGACAAAAAAATCCAAGTTACAAATATTGTCCTATTTCTTCTCTGTTTATACATGTACTTAACATAATACATTTGTTCACCTAACGGTAGTCTTGTAACATCGAAAAATAATCGAGATTGAGGCGAATTGAATTCCGAAAAAATGTCATTCCGTCCACCCGTACAAGCGTTATCTTAAATAAAAATTGAAATCTCTTGATCAAACTCCTTACTCGTATTACCGATGGGTCGAATCCGGCAATCGCCACGCTTCAACACAGCCGTTTAAAACTTTTTAAAAACCGGTCATGGGCCGCCCTAACAAGTTCAAAATATATATCTCAAATCACTAAAACTATATCGTCCAACTTTCTAAAAATATATCCTTTTACCATATCCTCATATGGTATGAAAAGGAAGGAAATTAATTAAATGAGATGATAACCACGCCCACACTCAGAACGGTTATGTTGAAAACTTTCAAAACTCACTAAATAAATAGTTCACAAACATTAATTTATACTGTAAGCATTGTACGAAAGAGCTTCATAGGAGTTGATATAAAATTTGGACAATGGGCGTGGAACCGCCAATTTTTAGGTGATAGAATATCACACGAGTTTCTTGACTCATTTCGACAAAATTTGCTGCCTAATATCATCCCGACATTCTTCTACTACAATGTTACGAATGGGCAAAATCGAACTACAGCAAAGACTACATCCCAAATATAAATTTTTTAATTCCATCTGATTCCTTCCCTTTACCTTATATAGATCTTTAGTGTGCCTTTAAGGTATGCCATCTTGCGTGTACAAACTGTCTTAATCGGACCATTAGTTTTCAAAACCCCTGGTACCGAATATGGGGATCCCGCTATTTAGCTGCTTTTTAACGAAGTAACCTGGCGCGATTTTTTAAAATTCAGATAGAATCCTTACCCGATAATAACTTTCGCTTGTGTCAAAAATGAGCAAAATCGGGTTGATACTTCCCCTGGCCCCCATGTAGGTATTTTTTGGTAATACAGTAAATACTGGCAACATTACGCAGTTTCCACTGCTAATTTTAGAAAGGTACAAAAAAGAATAAATCGTGTACAAAAGAATTTTATTACTAGCGTAAGCTTTAAAGTCAAACGGATTATTCCAAATGTGATAGCTTTAGGTACACTTTACGCAATCTATTTCTACTATATCCTATAAAAATTAAAAACGAACCCGCAAATAGAATAAAACAATGATAATAAAATTATATTTAACAGAAATAACTACTTTTTAAATTTTGCAAGGTTTGCGCGTTTTCGCATCATCCAAAAACACCCATATCCAACTGGTCGAATTGGCACACATTGGAGTTCAAACTTATAAACTATTGATCAAGAAGGAAGTAGATGATAAAAATTCAAATTTGATCCAACACAGCACTCCGGACTACAACAGTACGTCTATTCTGCTAGCGCATCTACATTGTGAGGTCCGCATACTCCCAGTTATAGAGTAAAGCGAATTCCTCTCCAAACAATTTCTGTTATTATGTTTTCGTTGAAATCAACAGCAGCTTTAAAAGACGGGGACTTATGCTAAGATGTTTTCATCGATAACAACAAAACGCGGCATTTAAAATTCCAATTCCATTTTCCGTTGACTTTTAAGCTAGGTACCGTGAAGTAAATACATGTTCGTTCAGGAATTTGCAACCTTCGTCCTCCAGTTCACTCCCGCATTCAGGATTATAGTTGTAGCGGATTAATTGTCATGGAAGTAATTTAACAATATGTTCAGTTTCGTTGGGGTCGAAACATAAAGAAAGGTGTGTTGGCTTGGTTAGTTCCATGGGGCATGCAAAGATAACATAGGCGTCACGTAGATACAGACTGTATTCTTCTAGTTTGTGAATATGGTCGCTGTGGATTTAGAAGAGGATAGTGTTAAGTTCCTTGCAGTGAAGCAAGAAAGGTCTTATATAATATATATGTTTAGTGTTAGATGTTTAGTGTTCAGGATCTTAACCCTCACTCTGAAAAATTAACGGTTAAGAAAGAAATGGATTCATCTATGCAGTAGAATATGGAAGACTGATTGCGTAAAGTTAAAAATATGGAACGTGGAATTGATTGTGCGAGAATCGGCAGTTGAAGCTATGATGATGATAACCCTCGGCCGCTTAAATACTGAGCGCCACTACCGTTCACACTACTGTTCTTACAACAGCCGGTTCTACGTTACCGGAATTGATCTGGATATTATCCGCAAGAGCTCTTATTTCAGGGATCTAACCCGGTTTTGATCGATAAGTAATAAGTTAATATTGTCATCATTTTTAGAGAAACACCTAGCAGCAGGCTTGCTCCGTATCCTCCTGATCTTGGCTTTGAATTCAACTCGGGCCCGAAGGAATTTTTCTGCTGCATTTTCGCCAAAAGGCTCCACCGTAACTCCACCTTTGAGGAGACCTCTTCAGGCCTTAAGATACATACTAAGTGGTCCACATGTTATGTAGCCCCATGTTGCCAACGCACTACTGCGATAATAGCCACTAGGGTCGTGCAAAAATGCACAATGCGCCGCTCCAGCGGAGGGGTCGACAAGGAACCTCTACGGTTCCACGGACGGCCAATTAGGCAGCATGACTCGCAGTCTGGTTGCGGGAAAATATTTATGTGCAGTCAAAAAAAGTTTTAAATGGTAGCAGACGAGGCGTTGCTTGTGTTGTTGAGTAATTTATTTTTCTTGGTTTTGTCAAGTTTTATTGTTTTTTCAATTCGGAGGAAGTTCTCCAGATAAAGAATATATACATATATATAATACTACTATATTACTTTATTTATATGTAATGTATACACAAAACGCTTTAAATCGTTATTATAGCTTTTCTTAAATATGACCAATTTACACAATAAGGCTATGCATCAAATGGTTTTTTTTCTGTGTTGAGTTGGGTTAAAAAAATTGTTTATGGTGCACAAAAAATTTAACATTTTTGCCAAATGGAAAGTAATATTTTTGTTTTGTTAACTAAATAAATAACTACATTCGAAAAATAAATATAATTTTACGAAAATATTTTGCTTTGTTAATTCAATAACAATATTAATGAAACTAGCAAATAGCATTTATATAAGAGTTTATTACTGATTGTGAACTTTGTGCTTAGGCTGTGTGCCAAATGGTAGAAAAATTATAATTCTGTCAGCTGAAAGGAAAATTTCGACATTTTTCGTGGTGAATCCGAATGTTAGAATTTTACCCAGCTCAGTTGTCAAAATTTTGACAACTTATAAATGTGATTACAGATATGCATTCACCAAGAAACGAATTTAAATGAACCGTTGCATACCAAACATGTAACTTATAAAATATTATATTTATTCGTAATTATTCATTTATTTATGTAATATTTTATTTTCAATAAGGAAAGTTTTTGTCTTCTTCTGTATTTTTATTATTTAAGTAAGAAGTTAAAATAATATTTTTCAAGTTGATTTGCAAAACTAAATGTACATAAATTTTTGTACAAAAGTCGAAAAAACATTTTAATTGACTAAAGGTTGGATAAACTGCGAGTATCAATGGAAGAATATGGTCCGCTTTAGAATATCTGAATGAACATGAAAATGTTTTAAAAAACAACTGTTATTATTTTATATATTTTACAGTAAGATGTCATAATGTATGAAAAAGAAAAATTTTAATAAACTTGAAATCAAAAATAAATCTCTAAAATAAGCGTTTCATTGAAAAGAATTTTAAAATTTCGGCAGTTTGAATATTTACTTTTCAGAAACGATAAACTTGCACAAACTTTGTTAACGCGGTTATACTTAAAGATTTTATTTTTAAGTGAATATAATTTATCTCTTAAAAGTATTTATTTAAACATTAATATGAAGACATAAGTATGCATGCATATCAAATGCAAATAGCCTAGTTAGGTTAGGTTAGGAAGCCGATCCTAAGAATGATCCCACTTGGACAGCTTAAACGCCGGTCCGTTGTGGTATCTCCTATAAGCTGGATCAAAAAACCCTTACATTTCGACAAAGCGCTTTGTGCCTATAACAAACTTGTTGAGACGGCCAATATCCGTTTCGGCTAAGTCTTCTGGTCAGCCGAAAGTCAAATAGCCTAGCCTAAATTTTGCTTAAAATTCTCAATTAATATCAAAGAAAAGATTTTGCTTTAATTTTAATCATTTTGCGAATAGTTTAATTAACAAGACGAAAATTCAAACGACGCTATTTCGTTTGTTTTGAAATTCAAATGTCAGAATTTTACTTTTCATCTGGCACTGTAATATGTAAAATTTATTTATATAGGACAACTCCACACAGATAAATATGTTACCGTTTGGCACACAGCCTTAGTGCCTACATTTGATATACATGCATATGTACATACCTATTATTCGTATCTATGTACATAATTATTGCATATCTTTATATGAAAATTTAAACGAGTTTTTAAGGATATTTTATGTTGTCATCCGATTATTATAGTCCTTTTAAATAAATTTTGTAAGTTTCCACTTTTCTGCAAAATTAAATTTTCTAATATTTAAATGTTTTTTTATTTATTTTCTATTTATAGATTTCAAGCTTCTTTTCCTTCATATACTAAATGACGTCTTACTGTTCATTGTATGTAATGAATTAACCCAGTCCCTTATCTTTTCTGTAAGTAATTTTCAAAAATTTCAATTTCGGTCAAACCTGAGTTAGAGAGAACTGGGTAAGCGAGAAAACTCTATAAGTGAGAATAATTCTCAGCTCCCGAACTTTGAAACGAACCTCTATGATTGAGAAAAAAAAACCTCCATAAGTGACAGTCGTTTTTCCCACCTGACCTCTATAACTGAGAGCCTCTTTTGTATTTACCTCTATAAGCGACAACTTTCCTATCTATGACTCATTCAATCTTTTCAGGAATCAGTTTTTTTTGTAATTCAAATAAATAATATTTAACTGTATTAACTTATTTGTCATTCTCACTGCAGTTCATAAATATCAA